CATACGATATTTTTTCTAAACCCGATAAATAATGAAAAACTGTAAATATTATATTTGTAATTTAATTTCTCAGTATGAAGTGAACGTCTACGATCCAAAAACTACAACAAAAAATACAGGTCCGTATTTAAAAATTCGAAGATGGTGGTGGCCCAAGTCAGATGACACCCTGTATAAACGATTCATGGATATATTCTGAGAGCTCACATCAAGTTCAAATAGCAAAATGTGGACAGATTTTTAATATGTCTGCGAATAAAGAAGATATATTAAAAAAGTAATTTGAGATTTTTTGGTTTTTCCTGTATATTTCCAGAACCGAAAGAGCTATATTCGATACCTCCACATCATTGAATAGGTCTCTAAAATATGCAACTTTGCCATGACTTAAACAAAACTCTATCTGTTATCGTTTACGAGATCCCCATGTACAGAAACGAATTTGAATAGCCCTGTATATTGATATGAAAATGAACGATTTCCACTTTATTCTCACGTTATTTTTTGAACAGCCCTACAGTTTGTTCCTAGAATATTATTCTATAGTTGTTTTTGTAGAGTTTTTGAGCGGATACAACTCTGTGCACCAAAATTACTGAAGCCTACCATTTATCTGCTGTCTAATTATGCTGAACAAATAGAGTTTACCTGAAGTGAATGCTAAGTGTTTAAATATTTAATAATCTGTTCTTGTAAATTGTGGCTGGTTCTTCCCAAGGCGATCCACCATGTTCAGGTACCCCAGATGATTTGTGGTTTTTACAGTTCTTCTTCGTAACACAAGTTTGTGTACTTACTATTGAAAATTTCTATGAAGCAGGATATTGATGAACAACTGAATATCAAATATTTATGAACTCAGTATATCAGTTGGAAGTTTTAATAAATTTCAAACAAAAATCCAGTGGATCTGTATAACAGAAACTTCATAAAACAATATTAAATAGTGAATCTGGTAGGCGTAATTGGTGAAATCAAACATATATTGAAGAATGACATATACAACGTGTACTGGAGGTTACAACAATTGAAAATCAATTTTTGTAAGTGTGCATATGAGGAAATTTCAATTTGAAAAGCCACCGTGGGTAATAATTGAACCCAGGACCTATTCTTGCTATTTTATTCGATTTCAAATGACTTGAATATTGAGTGGTTGAAAAAAATGTTCAAAAAGCCACCGTTGGTGAATATTAAACTCAGGACTAATGCCACTGGAATCCAACGTTCTAACTACTTCAAGCTACTACTACAAACTGTTTGAGTTTCTAGTAACTCCCATTTATTTTTCTAATGATGAACTTTTCGAAAGTATCAAGTTATTTTGCAACGAATATTACTGGAGTTAAAGTTAGAATATAAGGGACAACTACCATTTCTTGACGTTTTGGTAATGAGGAGCCAATATGGAGGGTTATAATATGATATATTTAGAAAAGAAACAAGCACGTACAGGTATTTTCCTGACAGTTCATATCACTGTGGACAGCACAAACGTGCTGGGTTGAATTTTTTACAGGAAATAGCAGCCACTCGAGTTTCTCGAGGGGTATTGTAGATGACATAATAAGGAAGAAGAAGTTCAGGTTAAGAATGAACGAAATCTCGACTTTCAGAAAGGACAAAAACCAAGATAAATCTATCTCAGTTCCATTCCACCAATATACGAGGAACTTTGGGAAGATTTTCAAGGAACTAGGTATGAAGGTGGTTTTTAAAACAAGTCATACACTACAGAGCCTTTTGGGAAGTCCAAAAGACAAAGTCGAGAATTCGGAAAAGTCTGGAATTTACGAAATTGAATGTAAGGACTGCGATGCAAAATATTATGGACAGACAAAAAGATCTATTAAAGTATGATATAAGGAACACATAGCACACTTAAAATATGGAAGACCTGAAAAATCAGCAGTCGCCCATCATATTTTGCAACAAAACCATTCCATAGACTTCAGTTCATTAAGATTAGTTAGACAAGTTAACAACAACAGGCAACTAGATGCCTATGAGAGTGTAGAAATAAGTAAACACAATAATATTATGAATAACGATGACGGACCTATACCAAAGAGCATACTATATAGCTTGTTAAAATAAAATAATGTTGTTGGGTTTACTGATTACTACATAAGGACACATTGCAAAAATAAATTTGGATAGGCAATATTGTGAAATTAATTTTTATATAGCTGAAAATTGTTTCATATAAACATATATTGCAAAATAATAGATAAGGCAAAATTGTAGAATCAATTAAGGTTGGTTTACCTATATGGGTGGTACGCCTGGATGGTTCACCTGTATGGGACACCTATATAGCATAAATAGGGTTAGCTTCGCATTAGTTTCTAGTTTTAATGTTCCTCTTTGAAGATGATCACTTAGTGATCGAAATACGTGTCGAGGTGTTAAAAAACTCCAGTAATATTCATTACTACATCAAAGATTCCAAACAGTGCATGATAAGTTATTTTGCCACATTACAAATTTCTGGTTTAGTTCATGTTTTCATTTCTATTTTTCTATTTTATATCTTGTATCATATATCATACGATGAATAAACATTATAATTATTATTCACCAAATAAATTTCCATTGAAGCTGTTTAACTTCATTTTCACAAATTTTTTAGTTTTATCAGGTGTTGAAAGCCAAAATGTTACATAGAGATAACGAAATTATTCACCGATTCATTTAAAGGAAACTGGTTATTGAATTCATCAAGGTGTAACTTCATTGGCATTGAAATAAATACAATGAGCTAAAGGGAAATAAAAAATTCATTCAATGAATGGACTGGTAACACTTGAAATCAGAACCGTATCTGACTGATATTTCATTTCAGGTATTATTTTGGGAATATCGGTTAGGGGGATAGATCTTACCACTCTCCCTGAAGACATTTACTATCCCAGTAACAATTGGTCTGACACGTTTGACTGGAAAATTTTTAAGGTGAGTCTCTGCTTCAAACCTTAAGGTGACTAAAAATGAAATGTGTTCACATTATTTTTGAAACATTTTATAAATGAATAATTTTTTGAGTAACAATTTTTGAGGAGAACCATAAAGTACATAAGTTTTATGAATAATTTGACATGAAAATATTGCTCCTGCTACAACCTCTCCAAAATGACGGATATTCCTCGAAATTTTCCATGTGTGATATATAATTTATCATCTATATACCAGGAATACCAAGAGTGATGCGTATCTGCTATATGATAATGATGATAGTTTCCATTATTTTCAACAATTTGTAGTACAAGTCATGAAAAAAGATTTTTCAGTTCCCTCAGAAAGACGGAGGGTGCAAGACTTCGCAGGAAGTATATCATCTCATCTGTCTGATGAAAATGGACATCATGAGTGGTTTTCTTTAGCATTGGATGAGTCAACAAATGTGTCGATACTGCTCAGGTGTTGATTTTTATTCGCGGAGTAGATAAAAGCTATGAAGTGTATGAAGAACTTCTTGATATTGATAATTGTTTTCTGTTTTTGGTACTACTTACTTGTGTGAGAAAACGTTTTTCAAGACGAAGTACACAAAGAATGTTCTCAAATCTCTTTTGATGATTGGTACAAGTAAAATTGATCCACAACTACAAAGTATTGTCGGTGGAAAATCAAAATTACATAAATCTCATTGGTGTTTTTGTTTTACTGTGATTCATTTCAATTATTTGTTAGATATTAAAATGCCTAAACTAAGATACTTAAGTTAAGGTTTCTTTGTCATCATTTCTGTCGTTAAGTTTTACCTTGCAAGTAAATAAAACCGAGTAATTATCATTCTGTGTTTTCTTCTTCAACTTATCACAGCAATAGTATTAACAATTAGGTAATCATTGGCTGTCGAGATAGAAGGCTACTTTATCCATCAGTATTTTGTGAAATAAGCATGCACAATGAATCCGTTGACATTTGCTAAACAAGAAATCCCACACATATTTCACTTCTTTCCATCAATTCATATGTTGGTTCAATTGTTTTATACTCATTTTTACTGCCCTGAAGAAGCTTCCCATTGAAAGTGGTATATTTTTCGGAAGAGATTTGTTTTCGATGGAAAAAATCTAATCTCTCATCTTGAAAATGATTCGAATATACTGGTTTCGAGTAACAAAAAATTAACATTGATATGAGAAATACAAATAACATGATGGGAAGAACTGAAATGCTGCTGAATGCTGAAAGGTCTACGTTCAAAAAAAAAGTTAAGTTAATTACCGAAAACACTAATAATACTCTTTATTGTTTTCGAATGATCGAGAATCTCGAGAATGTAGGTATTCGTTCCTCCGGCAGGAAATAATAAGCCTAATCAAGAAATCTAGAATTAATTAGCAGCTTTTTCGAATAATTTATGGTTGTGAAGGAATCGATCCAGTCCGCAGAATTGTTGGGAAATATTAGCAGGAATTTGTGGAATATTGCTGAAAATGTCGACGAGGTAATTCGTGATGGTGATGAGAAACAGAAAAATGCCATTTCATTAAGAAATACGGTATTGGAGTATAGAACGATCGGAAGAATGTTTACGTTTTGTTCATACCAAATAACATATTTAATTTTCTCTTGGAATTGGAGTGTTTGGGAATTTCGATTCATCTCAACATTTGACATTATTTCTGTTGAGTCGAATTGAAGGGGTTATATTTTCTGGAGTGAATAATTTTTGGGATAGAAAGTTTTTGGCTTTCTAATGGAATGAAATTCAGATATCATTCACAGGAGTTCTACTTCAAATGAATGGTAACAAATTGCACTTACATGGAACACTGTCATCCTCACTGGTATACATCGATGTTTCGCCTTAAGACACTCGCCTTAGGGCTCTTCAGTACCAAATTGGATAACATTATAGAAAATACACACAATTCATCAACTCATTCAAGTATTTGGAATCAGATATTTCTATTTCCATTGACAATTTCAATATGCATTTTCAGACAAGGAAACTTCGGACCTGAAACATTTAGTTTCGAAGTTGATTTCTCTGGCTCTGTCAAGGAAAAATTACGATAATTATACACTAGTGTAGCGACTCATATCTGTAAAACTTCCATGAACATTAGATGACCTACTTGATATCATGAAGACTTGAAACGTTCACAAAAAACATGTGACACTATCCCTTGCGCAGTTGATTTTGAAGTAGAGTATTGAATTTCTTCAATATTTGATGCTAATTCCAGTCAATTCATACAGAAAACCATGAACTATACGTTGACAATGTTTTCAAACGTGGGACAAACCAAAACGCTGATCTTGCGGTATATTATTAAAAAAAAATATATCGATACATGAACATCTTTTGTCACAAAATAATTGATGACTGAAATGAAATATCGACTGAGAACATCATTTATCACTTCTGAACAAACAGTGAACTATTCAAAAAATAAGGTGAATGTTGAAATTTCGCGGACTCGTATATTCGATTAGCATGTCATGTGTGTACATTCGTCTCGAACATACAGGGCGTTCCAACAGAAACTAGACTCCTGTTGTAAGTCACAAACGGACGTGTAATTGAGAATTTTAAAGAACACGTCAATTATTATTTCTAGGAGGACTAATTCTGATATGAAAATCATACCCGAAACATCACCCCACTGCGGTAGGCAACTACCTCCCCAATTTTTTTCAATGGCATGGAGGGGTCGAGTGATACATCATTTGTAAGGTCCTTTGTCCCTCTATAACCTCTGTGATTTTTTTCGAAATTGATTCATTCGTTATTGAGAAATTGAATGTTGAAAGTTTCATTCAGGAAAAAACAGAAAATTCGTTCATTGCAATGAGGAACTCAACAACAAATAATATCAGTGGAAATACAGTTTTATGTACACACATCGGAAAAGTCTAGGGATATTTTTAAAAATGGCAATATTTTTTTTTAGATCGCTTCAGGGAAAAAAAAAGTTGACGGGTGATTATTAAACGAATGTAACTTACAACAAAAATTATTAAATGGTCAAAAATACTGAGTGCGCATACAAGCAAAACTAAAAAAATANCGAAGGATCCAGCGGAGTCACCAAACGGGAGTTTGAAAATGTACTGCAGTTCACAGATAAAGCGGATGTTCAAGAGCAGTACCGTGACATTCTCAATAAGTTACAGGTGAGTGAATTTCAAAACACTAGAACAAAGTGAGCAGAGTGCAGGTGATGGGAGAATAATTTATATTGGAACAATAGTATTAGAAAACTTATTTTATGAATGATGTACTGATTGTGAGAAAAATGTATCAATGAAATGTTTGTTATTTCAGGCAACAGAAACGTCAGAGTATGTCCTCAATATGGGAACTAGAATATTCTTAGATACACCAATCGAACCCAAGCAGAAATTTGCCAGCATTGCACAAGACTCTTTCAAAGCTGATATTGTACCAACGAACTTCAGCTACTCTCCAGATGCCAGTCAAACTATCAACTCTTGGGTGGAAAAGCTGACTAATGGAAAAATTTCTAAATTAGTTGATACCGGTGAGCAACTGATATATTTTGCACATATAGTCAGTGGTCATACTTAAAGACTGACTATGAATGAGATTATCTAAAAGAACTGTTCATTCAGGTCAGTCTCAACTCACGACACTATAGATTATATTCGACAGGTGTCACTGCAGGATTCTTCACTGAAGTTACTCCTGCATATGCTGTTGGCGATACAAGTGCCGCAATAGATTTTAAATTATTGAAACACACTTGCAGACCGGCCTCGAGTTGTTTGGACACTCGTCAGTGCAAGGTAGTGTCTATCATCAACATAAAGTCGATGATTTCCGATAATTGAGAATCGAATTCCTTCAGAGTATCATTCCTCGAACAAGGCTGAAGCGGGCAACAAACAACAGATTTGTCATCGTCCCATCTGCCTGTGAACGAGGTAACCAACCGCATATCCGAAATTCGACCAATTTCTCGTATAAGGAAAGAAACTCTTCACATACAGTGCACTTCTTTAATGACCCCCCTTTTTATTTTTTGAAGGGGCAAACTCAAATAATGGAAATTTGGGATAATGGAATCAATGCATGAATACTTCAATTTGATGTGAAATTGATAGATAAAACTTTCAAGATGGCGACTGGGCGCCATCTGGGAAAAAATTAAATAGTAAGGGGGGTTTTGTGATACATTTTTTTGAAGCTCCTGACAAATGCTTCATAACCCTAGAATATAATGTCAATATCTTCAACTACTACAAAATGACGGAAATTTCAATAATTGCCTGAATACATTGACATTTAACCACATAATATGAGGTAATGAGCTTGGAGTCAGTTCAGAAGATACTCGAAATGATTGCCTTGAACTTCTAGACATATAAACAGCCTATCCGATATTTCACGCCGAACATTTTAGAACACAGTTAGTATTATTTTCTGCCGTATATCCAATATTGAATCAAATTTAGTTTAGTACACCTTTTGCTTCAAATAATCCCATGAAAAAAGTCCAAAGGTATTGAATCTGGCGAGCGGGCTGGCCATTCTGTAGCACCTCCCGTTGAACGATAGGAAGTGAAAATCGATCATTTAGACTAGGGCTTGAACCACCGACCAACACGGCAGTCAATTTGATTGAGTGAACAAAGCATCCACGTAGAACTGCCTGGTTACCGACCGACCACCGATGTGTCACAAGACCCGCCTTTACATTTAATTTTTTCCCAGATGGTGCCCAGTCGCCATTTTGAAAGTTTCATCTGTCAATTTCAGTTCGAAATAAAGTATTCATTCATTTACTTCATTATCCCAAATTTAAATTTTTTGAGTTGGCCCGTTCAAAAAATAAAAAGGGGGACATTAAAGAAATGCACTGTATATGTATCGCCAACAGCATATGCAGCAATAACTTCAGTAAAATTTCCTGCACTGATAACTATCGGACATAATCCAACGCCCTTCGTGGTATTAGCCAGGGGAGTAGTTGTTTCCTGACA